TAGGGATTCTGGGACGATAGTTATATAGATCGATTCATCATACTTTTAAAATTAAAACAATAAATTACTTTCATATGAAATATCGTACTTTTTTTTGGGTATATTTAGATGCAATTACGAAAATATATAAATTTATTGAAAATAAGGTAATATGTACTAATAAATAGGCCTTCAACTTAGCTCAGTACCATCATCTATAAAATTTATTTACCTGTATACATTTAAGTATCGAAATTTAAAATATCTCATCGGTACTTCAGTTTCTATAGTGAAACATATTTTAATTATGAAAGATTATCACATTTTCATTAACAATATGCATGTTTGTCAAAGTAGAATATCTAATATTATGTTAGTTGAACAAAGAATAAGTTCTCGTAAAAATACTAAAGTTAGTGTTACCAATAACCTAAAATAATACTATTACTTTAATTTTTGTTAGATTATTTTTAAAATAATTAAGCATCGCTACTTATATATGTTCGTGAGCTTAAATTAAATTATAAATCCACATACAAATAAAATAAATTTCATATGTGCTGAATTTAATTTAACAAAAAATATTTTTTTTATTTCTAAGAATAATATACTAACAAGGGACAAAAATGACCCTGGGCTAGAGCTAAGGCTAGCCACTACCTGGCTAAGCCCATGACCTCATCCACTAATTAAAACTAAAATATTGTATATATAGTAATATAATCTTTTATATTTGTTAATATCTATCATTATATAAAAAGAATAACTTTTTTATAAATTTAGAAACTTTTTATCAGCCATAATCATTAAATATATCCTACACATAGTAGTTGTTTGAAAATTCTGAATAGGGAAGAAAGTTCGCTATTTAATTGTGTAAATATTTATTTTTTTTTTCTTGTTTTTAGGTTATCAAATCTATATGAATTTATCTTATCTGTTACAAAATCTGATATTGCATACATTTCACAGTTTACAAAAATCTATAAAATACAATCCATCTCCGGACGCTGCTAATTTTCATCCGTTTAATTACTAATATTTTTATAAATATTATAAGCTAAAAATACATCCTCGATAACAATGTAAAAAGTATAATAATGATTTTGAAATTGTGTGTAATCAATAGTAATTATTTTTACTAATATTTTTACAAATATTATAAGCTAACAATACATCCTCGATAACAACGTAAAAAGTATAATGATAATTTTGAAATTGTGTGTAATAAATAGTAATTATTTTTACAAATATTATAAGATAACAATACATCTCGATAGTAGATAGTATAATAATAATTTTGAAATTATGTGTAATTAATTTTTTTTTAATGGAAGTAACGCCATATATTCGGTATTATCTGACATAATGTTTTTATTAAATTGAGCTTATATTTTAGATATTTCGAAACAAATTGTTTAGACATTTTTTTACATATTCGTCTATATATACATATACATATACATATATATATACATATACACATATACATAATCGATGTTAAATTTAAATATTTGTAGACATGATTTCTTTACAAAATAGTCTTGAAAAATCTTTTTTACATAATGTTAAATTCAAATGTTTTTAGATATGTTTTCCTTCTAAAATTGTTTTGAAAAGTTGTATCTTTCAATAATAATATAGAAAACTTTGAATATTTTTACATATACTAATATAATATTTTAGGTGTTTTTAATATTAAACATACAAATTTTATATCCTCATATACAAAATAATGTAAATTTTATATTCTCTTATACAAAATAATGTTACATTGTTTGATCCCGAATCTTTAATTTATAATTATTAGGTATTGTTTATCCTCCTCTTTAATTTATATATATTTTTTTTAAATAGGATCAGTAGTAGTTTCCACGTCTGCCATTGAGTGACTCAAATTCGAGGTCTATTTATAATATTTTAATTTAATATTGTTCCCGTGCATTGCACAGGGTACACACTAGTATAATATATTGCATAAACATTTTGGATTTTTTTTTAAACTCTTAAAGTATGGCCGATTTTAGAGTTTGCCTTACGAACTTTTTCGCTTGACAATTTGTATGTCTTTCATAGTAATCGGAACTGACAATTTGCCTCTTTGATTTGAAACCCTAATATGACACAAATTTTTTTAATTGAATTAACAAAATGAAGTATGAATTGTCAGTTTTTTGAAAATTGATATCTCTGTAATCGATCGGCGAAGATAGTAAGCGCACGGGTGTATAGAAAATATTTCACTTCAAGTTTTCTGATAATCAAGATATCCGATTCTCAATGAGAAGTGTCATTTAAAACCTTGCAGGACAAATTTTATGACGAATAAATCTTATAAAAATTCTACGATTTGATTCTAATCAATAGTTAGAAAACTACTGATCAATAATTAACTTTTTTTTTAGACTACCAACCAAAATCCGACCGATTTGATCAATAGGTAGAAAACTTGAAAAGATATGTCACCAGATTTGCTCCAAAAGAAAAGGGAAAACATAAATGAAATACAAAAAAATATCTCACCAAAAAGTCAAAATTTGCTTTGAAATGAGATCCCAACCGACAATAATCCAAACCCCACACACTCAACGTGTCCACACTTTTAATAACTTACTTTTATTCAAACAAATCACCAAAACACAGAAAAAAAAAACAAAGGGGAAATTGCTCACCGCATACTGTCACGTGTCGGTGTACGTAAATATAATATTCCCACCTTTTCAAAATAAGTGTCGTTTTGACTTTTTTGATTCATCTATTATGTCTAGATACATAGTAAAATAGATGAATCAAAAAAGTCAAAAAGCAAAATGGATGAATCACAAAAGTTAAAACGACACTTATTTTAAAAAGGAGATAGTAGTACTTATTTTGAAGTATTTATTTATTTATTTATTTATGTGACTCTAACGGCCAAAGGGGTGTTTGTGTTGTTATCACATATTCTAAGTGCCAAACCAAAAGAGAATTAATTTACTTCAGGGGTTGTATGTGTGTGTGTGTGAGTGGTAGTTCTGGCTGGTTCAAGGGTGGGACTGAGTCGACTCGGCGGCAAGAAGCGGCGGTGGACGGCGAGGATTAGAGCGATGGAGTGGTGGCACAAGGTGGTTTTCCCTGTTCGGAGAGTTTGGTGCGCTGTCTCTGCTCGCGTCAGGGCTCGCAAAAACGGTTACCATTTTACTTCAATTGCGATTGCCTTTTTATTTTATTTATTTTATTTTATTTTAAGCCGATTCTCAATTAAAAAAATAAAAGTGTTTTTTTTTAATAAATATCCCCTACAGCAACATTGATTTTTTTTTTTAATTCTTTATATTTTTAATTGTTGTTCTGATTCAGGAAAATAAGCAAGAAGTAATCACCATGAAACTTGCTCGAGCCTTGTAACTCATTGCTTACCTTAAATATGGTGACTGGTGTAGATTAGGGTTTTGATCGATTTATCCCTCATCGAAAGTGTAAATTTGTTTTGAGGAATTGTGGAATTCCAAAAAATAAAGATTTGTTAAACTAAGGGAAATTCTAGAGAAATGCTAAGGTCTGGTTACGGAAGCATTCCGTCGGAGTTTGTAACCGTTGGATCATCATGTAACCGTCGGGGATAGTTGATTTAACGATTACAAAACCCCGACAGAATGGTTCCGTAACGGCACCGTAGCATCTCCCACTACGACAGAAGCTAATTGAGTTTGGTGTTGTTAGATGTTATAATAGCTTTTGCACATCTCAAAGGCAAGTGAAAAACAGGACACTTTGATCTCTTAAATTAACATTTAGAGTTACGGTATCTTTTATTTCATAATCGTCTTATGCACTAAGCATATCTAAAGATTACACTTGTATGGTACTATAGCACCCAATTTGTTTGCTCGAGCAACCGGATTTTTTTTATTGGCCCTTTGTTGTTCTGTACGAGTGCTCCCTAATGTGAACTTATGCATCAGCCTCTTATTAAAAGACTTGAATTGGATGCCTAAACGGTCAACTCACGAAATGTTTTCTTGGTTTCTTATTAGGTGGTGGGCTTTTGAAACTTCACGATGACATCCAAACATGTGGATACGAGGATGTACAGATCATGTGGGAGATGTTGAGTAGGACGGAACCGAAAGTGATTTCGGGCCACACGAAACGGAGAAACCGGTGGCTTTGTAGGAATCTTGGTACCTTGTCAGCCAATCAAGCTCACTGAGAGAGATGCTTTTCGCAACAAAAGCTCCATGAATGCTAGTGTGTCGTGTGATTGTTGATATCGACCCTGGTCTTATGTTGTTTATGTAATACAGTACGAATGAGATTGGCTCGAGATCTTTGTCCGAATGTCGGCTGTGTAACTAAAATATATATGTATCGATGTGTGTCTACATCTTTGTCTCTTTCGCTGTTGGCTTGTAATGACTTCAAGATTAATGAAGTCATTTTGTGTATTTTTGCCATGGCCATGGAGAAATTTTAAGTGAAAGAGTTTTAGAAAGTTGATCCAACTGCAACAATACTGTCTTAGCTTGAGAGGAGGTGGAACTGAAAAAAATCTTATGTTCAAAGGTAGTGCCTTTTGAGCACCTGTAAGCGAAGATATCAGCCACGCGTAGGGGTGTCTGAGCGAAGCCGAGCTAAGTATTCATGTTTGAGCTCATTTAATAAACGAGTCAGGTTCAGCTTATTTATAAACCTAACATCTTAAACTGAGTTTTTGGCGAACATGAACTATCCTCAGCTTATTTATAAACCTAACATCTTAAACTGAGTTTTTGGCGAACATGAACTATCCTCTTGCGAACAAGTTCGATTCGGTTATTTTATTTAACATCTGAAAAGAAAAACACATTAATATGAATTTTTGATAACATCTGGAAAGAAAAACACATTAATATGAATTTTTGATTTCATGAGTTGTTTGCGAACAAGCTCCGCTCGACTGTTTTATTTAACATCTAAAAAAACACAATAACATGAAATTTTCACTTTCATTAGTTGTTTGCGAACAAGCTCGGCTCGACTGGTTTAAATAATCGAACGATATGAGCTTGAGCTTGCACAAGCAAATAGCCAACTCTAGCTGCACATCCCAATTTTGGTGCAGATATAACAATTCTACCTCCCAACATATTTGTATCTTTAAGTTCTTGAATAAGCTAGCAAAATCAAATAGTGCAAACTATAGCACCATTTGAACTTTTCATTAAGCAAAATACTCGTCAATCAAGAATTAGTTACTCTTTTAGAAAATATTTCGGCCTCCTACTTGATATAATTGTAAACTAATTTGCCTGTTTTCAATAAAATTTATTTTGTTGTATATATATCACTCTTGAGATATTAATTTCCAACACGTGGTACGTCAAGAAGAGTTCGAGTTGCGTGTGGATATATTAAGGGTCCGTCCTCAGTCACCAGCCGAGGGGAGATTATTGAGTTCAAAGACCTCTTGCACAATTAAAAATATCGTGAAGTGTGTGAGGCTTGCTTGGTTACCAGGAGGTAATCCAAGTCACAATTGCAAATCTTAGACAGAATGGAGAAACTAAATAATCAAAATTACACCGCATGAAAGACGTGCATGAAGATGTATAACCAAAGATCTACGGAAAGTTGTTGGCGGGGAAGAGGTCAGGCCACCCAAAGAAGCTAGGGCTTTA